AGACGGGGGGGGGGGGGGTTGTCTGCATAGCCCTGGATATCCTAGAATTAGCTCTATAGACCAGGCTCCAGGCTCAAACTCACAGAGATTCCCCTGCCTCTGCCTCTGCCTCCCACATGTTAGGATTAAAGGTATATACCACCACTGCCTGGCAAAAATATTTTAAAATATTTCCTAAAAGTACTCTTAACCCCTGAGCCATCTCTCCAGGTACCTACCATATATTATATTATATTACATATTTTGAGACAGGGTCTCTTGATGAACCCACTGGAACTTACCAAGTTGGCTAGACTGACTGACCAGAGAGCCCCCAGGATTCTCTGTCTCTTTCTCCCCAGTGCTGAGGTTATAGGCCTGTACTGTCTAATGACAGTCTGTTAACTCTAGTCCTAGAGGATCTGACAGCCTCTTCTGACCTGCAAGGGCACTACATGAATGTGTTCAGAGACATGCATGGAATAAAGGAAAAAACTAAGTTTTAAGTCAGAGACTAGGAAAGACAGACTGTGCTGAGAGTTCCTTCTCTTTGGGAATCAATGCCCCACAGAACCTGTAAGGAATATGCAGCAGGGCATACTTTTTGCCAGCTCACACAAGAACACCAGTATCTAACATCTCAAATTCCCATCTGCCACATGGGCACATCCTTCAAACCACAGGGCAATGTCTATATACACTAGAATTTAAGTCTGTATTTCCTGGACTACTCCTACCAAAGTTCAGCCAGGTGACGTGTCTGAGTCCGCAAGTGTCAACATCATTCCTTTTTTAGACTGTGCCTTTGAGATGCCTCCCAATTCCTCCAGTATTTGCGATCTTGCATTCTCAATCTTGCCTTGACTTTCAACTCCTTTATGATCTGAGATGTGATGATATGATCACTACATACAAGTCACATAAAACTAGACCTCAAACTGGTGAACTTTTCTTTTTTCTTTTTAATATTTATTTATTATGTATACAGTGTTCTGTCTGCATGTATCCCTGCAGGTCAGAAGAGGGCACCAGATCTCATTACAGATGGTCGTGAGCCACCACGTGGTTGCTGGGAATTGAACTCAGGACCTCTGGAACAGCAGCCAGTGCTCTTAACCTCTGAGCCATCTCTCCAGCCCGAACTTCTTTTTCTAACATACACCGATTCAATACAAGAAGTCCAGACTTGGCAATGGTCATTAGTAATCTTTATCAGCAGGCCCCATCTCTACTCCAAGCTGGGGAAGTTACACATACACAGCAATAGAGATTGAGAAAGCTAGAACAAGACAAACCACAGCCACCTAGTCCTGACACATCACCTGGTTGGACTTATATATAGACATTGCCCTGTGATCTAAAGGATATGTTCATGTGACAGACATGAGCCCATGATCCCGGAACATTAGATATTATCTTAATTATACTGCTTAGCACCAGGTTTCTGGAAGTTGCCGAAGGTGTGTTGTTTTAAAGCTTGGCATGCCAACATTTTTGATATTTCGCTGTCCGTCAGGCAGGTCTAATTTATAAATGGGAAACCTCTATTTTAAAAACTTTGCTGGTTGATTTTATTGAAAATTCAGAGCTGCTTCCTAGGGTTGGGGGTGTACGTAATGCAAATTCTTCTAGTTGGCCTCGTAAGCAACAGCCAGATCGGAAAGTGCACACGCTAGTGGCCACAAGGATAGACAGGCAAATAGACAAATGAGCAGGAAGGGAAATAGGATGGATTTTCCTCACTCCCAGGTAGAAAGAATTTAGGGAGCAGGCCCGAGTCACCCAAAGGGTCAACTATTTCTGACACCAACGTTGCCTGACCCAGGACTCGTCTACCCTCGAGTATCCATAGTGTTCGCAAACTGCCCAGCCTGAGCTCTCCCAGGCCGACAATCGCCGTCAGCCCACCTCCTCCTCCAGCGCATCCATGCTCCTCCAAGGGCTCGGCCCGTTCCTCCCTTCTCGCTTCCATTCCTCACCGTCTAGCACACCCGGTCCCCATTCATCCTTCCTCCGCCCCGCACCTCGCTGTCCATCCCCAACCGGCTCATGAGGCTTTCACGACAGTCCCCTGGACCGCAGCGCGGGTCGCTTACCCGGGCGCGGCAGGCCTGTGGCCCTCGCACCGCAGCGTAGCCACTTCAGCGATTCAGCCAGGCGCGGGGACGTGGACCGCAGCGACACCCAGTTAGCTCAGCTCGCGGGTGAGCCCCGGGCCCCACCCCGACCGCCCCGGAAAGACGTCACGGAGGCGGGACCAATAGGCTGTCGCCGTGCACGCGCGGGCGAGTGCGAGGGGCGTGGTTTGTGCAGGCCACGCCTATTTCGGGAGCTGGCTTCCAACCTGGTCTTGCTTTAGCCGGAAAGAGCTCTTTGGAACGGGTCTAGCGGAAGTGGACGGTCCTGGGAATTCTAGGCTGAGATTGTGTGCACGGCTTTTTCCAGAAGACCGGGAGAGGGACCCTGCCAGGCCACCCCTAGATGCCCTCAGAAGGTGGCCCCTCTGGATGGGCGGCTCTCGAAGGCCTCGTGAGGGACTTTGGGCGGCTCCTTTGGCCGGGTTCCTGCACTTCCCTCCCCCTCTGCTATTCATCCTCTTATGGCCACTCTTCCAGTCCCTGCTCACAGGCATGGATACTAAGGTTTGCTTTGCACTCACTGCATTGCCAGTTTCTGGCTAAGCACGTCACCTGAAGGACGTTACACTGATTTAATTCTGCAAGAGGACCCTCGCTTCTATTTTCCAGGTCGCGAAACAGACTCACAAAGGGCTTTGGAATTTACACGCGGCATGACAGTGGGACAAAATGGAAAGCCAGTGGGACTTGATTTTAATTTGAAATAGATTGGGGCTAGAGAGATGGATTAGCGGTTAAAAGCACTGCTGCTCTTGAAGATGACTGTTCCTTTGCCAGCAGCCACACGGTGGCTCCCAACCATCCGAAACAACAGTTTCAGGGGGATTACATGCCCTCTGGCCTCCAGTACACATACATTCGTGTAGGCAAAAACTCCCACATAAGTTTTTTGTTTTGTTTTAAAGTCAGGGTCTCACTTTGTATCCCTGGCTGAACTGGAACTCTGCCTAGATCCGGTTGTCATTGAACTCAGAGAACCATCTGCCTCCTACCTGCCTGTACTGGGATTAAAATCATGGGCCACTGCATCCAGTGGCAATACATATTTAAAAAAGAAAAGAAAAGAAAAAGAATTTAAGCCGGGCATTGGTGGTGCACGCCTTTAATCCCAGCTCTTTGGAGGCAGAGGCAGGTGGATCTCTGTGAGTTCGAGACCAGCCTGGTCTACAAGAGCTAGTTCCAGGACAGCCTCCAAAGCCACAGAAAAACCCTGCCAAAAAAAAAAAAAAAAAAAAAAAAAAAAAAAAAAAAAAAAAGATTTTAACGTGAAATAGGCTTTGCAAGCCAGTTAGCAAGTTCTGTTACTGAATGGCAATTTGTGTAAGACCCTTCTGGGTAAACACCACCCCACCACCACCACCACCACCACCACCACCACCCCTTCAATATAAATCAAAGCCTGTCTGTAAAGGGTGATTGATCATCATTGTAAGTTTTGTTTTGTTCAGAGACAAGGTCTCACCTTGTAGCCCTGGCTGGCTTGAGGATTGCTATGTAGAACATTCTGGCCTTGAACTTACAGAGATCCTCCTATCTCTGCTTGCCTGCTAGAATTAAAAGCATGTGTCACCATGCCTGGCTTGTTTCCAGTTTTATAACCTGTCTTGGGTTCTGGACCCAGAAACCAAAGCTGAGGGTGTGTGAGAACCAATGGACCTTGCTTTGAGCTCCGGGAAAACTATAAGCCTTGCTGTCACGTCACAAGCACACCTGCAGTTCAACCTCTGTTTCACGCTACGTGGAATTTGCCTGGCAAAGTGTGGGTTTGCTGAAACTACCAAAGGGAGGACCTTATGTTTGTTTTAATCTCCTTAGTAGTTCCACAAGGAGAAATACAATATAGGTGCTCAGTGAACATTCTGGGCTCAGCTTTCCTGGAATGTCAAAGTTTGTGTCCTCATTTCTCTCTTCAGGGAAACAAAGTAGCAGGTGTGGTGGCACACACCTTTGATCCCAGTACTCGGGAGGCAGAGGCAGGCAGACACGGCCAGCCTGGTCTACAGAGTGAGTTCAGGATAGCCAGGGCTACACAGTGAGATTGTCTCAAAACAAAAGTATGGAGAAGTATCGGGAGGAGATGAAGTCCTGGTTGAACGTGTCTTGCTGGCCATGTTAAAGACTCCCAGTGCCTCAGGCCAATGTGAGCTGCAAAGCCTTCCTTCCTCTGACTTGAATGTGAATATTGACAATGTGGAAAAAAAAAAAAAATGGCCACGGAAGTCCTCCAAGTCTGAAGACTACACCTGTATAGAGACTATTTCTACTGAGATTAATTAAACCTGCCTTCTTGTTCAGCTGTATGTAGTAACCCACTTCCCTGTTCAACTCTGCAATAAACACCCTGAGCTTCCTGGGTGCTGTGCCGTCTGTATCAGAGAGCCCAGCTCACCCAATCCCAGCTTTTCCTGTACGTGTGTCTGTCATTCCTTCATACCTCACTGCCCCTCCAGAACCCAAACTGTTCAAGGATGAGGTGAAGAATTAAAGGCTATGGTCAGGCTTGGGGTGCAGGTGTGTCATATCACTTGCTTGGGAGGCTGGAGCTAGAGAATTGCAAGTTCAAGGCCTATCTGGACTAAAGAGGCAGTTCAAAGCTAGTCTTGGGAACTCAACAAGAACATACCACAAAATGTAAAAGGCAAAACAAGGGCAGGGGGAAAAAAGGGGGTGGTGGTGGAGAGATGACTCAGTGGTTAAGAGCACTAACTGTTCTTCCATAGGTCCTGAGTTCAATTCCCAGCAACCACATGGTGGCTTGCAAAACACCCTGAATGAGATCTGGTGCCTTCTGCTGGCATGCAGGCAGAAGACATAATAAATAAATAAAAAACCTAAAAAAAAAAAAAAAAAAAAAAAAAAAAAAAAAAAAAAAACAGGGCAGGGGAAATAGCTCAGTGATCAAGTGCTTGTCTAGCATGTGTTAGTTACTGGGCTCCAGTAATGCCAACATGGGAGTTGGCAAGAGAGAAGAGTCGTTGATTAGAAGCACTTACTGCACTTAGGCATCAGGACCTAAGACCAGAGTTCAATTCCTGTCACCCACACTGCTGCCCACAACTTTCTGGAACAACTACAGGATATCTGATGCCCTCCTCTGGCCTCTATGGGCACCTGCTTGTGTTAGCTCTTTCAGATAGACATGCTCATTAAAAAAGAAGAAAAAAGAAGAAAGACAGACAGGCAGGCAGGCTGTGAACTCTCAGAGACTGGAGGGGCCCAGAGGGAAGTAGGCACTAACTGCATGGGTTCAGAGTTACACCCTGGAGGAGGTTGGTCCACGTGGGAAACTAGTCCAAGCCCAAGTCTGTATCAAGTTCCTAGCAGTGTGCTAAGGTTAATCTGCTGTTGACAATGGTTCTGTAGTTACATAAGATGCTAACTTATGGGGGAAACTGGTTAACATAAAGGGAAGCAGGAACTGGATACTATTTTTGAAAAACTTCTATAAGTCAAAATTATCTCAAAATAGAAAGAAAAAAAAAAGCACAGGAAATAATGGCCATTTTGCTGGGCATAGTGGCACCAGACTCTGCCCTGATATATGAGAGAGGGAGAGGCAGGTGGATCTTTGTGAGTTCAAGGCCAGCTAGGGCTACATCGTGGTGCCCTATGTCTAAAAAAAGAAAAAAAAAGAAAAAAGAAAAAAAGAAAGTCAGTTTTCACAACTGGCAGGATAGCTCAGTAGGTCAAAGCACTTGGATTCAGTCCCCAGGACTGACTCCCAAAAGTTATCCTCTGACCTCCACAGGTACACATGGCACAGATGGCATAGAAGACAGAGATATATAGGAAGGGGCAGGTTAAGATGTAGCTCCAGCCGAGCGGTGGTGATGCATGCCTTTAATCCCAGCACTTGGGAGGCAGAGGCATGTGGATCTCTGTGAGTTCGAGACCAGGCTGTGAGTTCCAGGACAGCCAGGGCTACACAAAGAAACCCTGTCTCGAAAAACAAACAAAACCAAAAATGATGTAGCTTCAAAAATACCCCTCCAGCAACCTACTTCCTCCATTCTACCTCATACTTCCCAATACTATCAGGTCGGGAATCCATATAGGGATTATTCCACTGATTAGGTCCAAGTCCTCATGACCTGATGGTCTCAGGAGACTATAATGGATACCCATACTGTGGTAGTTTGAATGAGAATGGCCCCCATAGGCTCTTATGTTTGAATAATTAGTCCTCAGTTGATGGAACTATTTGGGAACAACTAGGAGGTGTGGCCTTGATGCAGGAAGTGTGTCATTGGGGGGCTGTGTGGTTTCAAAAGCACGCTCCAGGCTCAGTCTGGAGTTCTCTCTGCCTCCCATCTGTGGATCAGAATGTAAGCTTTTAGTTGCTCCAGGACCATGCCTGCCTGCCTGCCCGCCCGCCCCTCACCATCACCACATTCCCTACCATGATGGCTATGGACTAACCTTCTGAAACGGTATGCTCTCACTAATGTTACCTTGGTCATGTTGTCTCTTCACAGCAATAGAATAGTAACTAAGACAGAAGGTTTAGCAGGTGTGCCCTTGAGGCAGACTTTGAGATTTCAAAAGACTTACCATTCCGAGTTTGCTCTCTGCCTCCTATAGTGACATATTGTTTGTAATCTAGCAAATAAATCTTGCCTGAAGATCAGAATGAAGAACTAAGCCACTAGTTAGCCATACACCTGAGCCACCAGTTAGCCACAGAGGACAGGCAGTGGTGGGCACACCTTTAATCCCAGTTCTCAGGAAACAGAGGCAGATGGATCTCTGTGAGTTCAAGGCCACACAGGGGCTACATTCGAGTGAATCAGTCTAAAGGAGAAACAGAGTTTACCCCTCTAATCCTAGCACTAGAGAGAATATAAAGCAGGGGCTCAGTGCAGTCTCAATGCAGTTGAGTTTTGGTGGCGAGCATTGCAGTCGGCAGTCACTCTGAGGACAGGATTGTCCCCCTTTGGTCTTAGCCTTGGTAGAGGTAAGAACTCTTTAGTAGCTTGGCTGCTTTGCTTTTTTGGTCTTCAGCTTGAATCTCAATATCTGTCTTTGTTTTTTGTTTGTTTTTGTTGTTCTTTTGTTTTTTTCCGAGACAAGGTTTCTTTGTGTAGCTTTGGAGCCTGTCCTGGA